GCCTGAAGTTCCAAGAAGTTGGAATGTCCGGTGTCCACTGAGCTCCATCTGCCTTGTCCCCTTCTTTTGAGGCAGTGAGCCCCCCAGCCCTGGTAACTGGCATCTGATGTTATCACAGTCCAGTCTCCCGGCTGAGCGCCATGCCCCAGGATTAGGAACGTGGCATGATCCACCAAGCAAGACTCTGCCAAAGTCATAAAATCAGCAGGATCTTCTGATTCAATGAGACGCCATCACAAGGACACTTGGAAAGCTCTTGTATGGAATATTTCCCATGGCACTACCGGAATGACTGCCGTAAGCATCCCCAGGAGTGTCATACAATCTCTCGCTGATAATACAGGGGACACCATTACTGCCTTGATGCATGCTTCTAGCTTGGCCCTCTTGTGGTGAGGTAGGTATACCTTTCCTTTTGTTGTGTTGAATATTAGTTCTAGATATTCCATTTCCTGAGTTGGAGACAAATGGCTTTTCTGAGTGTTTATCGACCAACCAAATTTGATTAAGATCTTCAATACCTTGTCGTGTTGTCGTGTCAGTTTTCGGCTTGAAAGATCTACCACCAGGATATTGTCCAGGTAATGGAAGATTTTTATCTTTAGCATGCGGATATATGAGACAGTGGCTAGTAAAATCTTGGAAAAGACCCGGGGAGCTGTGCTGATTCCGAAGGGCGAGCACCTGAACTGATAGTGACTCCCTCCTATCGTGAATCTGAGATATCTTTGATGGTGCTTGTTGACTGGTGCAGGTACACATCCACCAAATCGATTGAGATTAGCCAATCTTCCCACTGCACCATGAATATCATTGTATACACTGATTCCATCTAGAAAATTCTGGGATCTAGAGAATTCTGGGCTCTATAAATTGGTTTAAAGATCTCAGGTCTAGCACCAGCCTTGGATCCCCTGAGGCTTTGGGTATGAAAAAAATTGGTGAGTAGACACCTTTTCTTGTTTTTTTCCAGGAGCACTGGCAAAATTGCTTTTTTCTGATGTAATTCGGTAACATAGTCTCGTAAAATCTTCCTTTCCGTTTGGTCTTGTGGCCATTCCATCTGGAGGAAAATATTCAAGGACTTTTCTCTGTTGCTGTGGGAACACTAATGATTCAAAAATCAAACAATCATTCTTTCAGCATGTATCTTGTTTGTTTTTCGACTCATATATGGCTTGCTTATATTTTCTCATCAATGTCTGTATCCTTGTGGATCTCTTGAATCTTAAACTGTGTTCACTTCAATGATCCAATCATGGTAAAGTACAGGAAAGATGGGTGGTATTTCAAATGTATGATGAATGAAAACATACATATGTTTATAACATTTTTTCAATATAAATGCTGACTTTCTCAGATGTTGAGCCTTTACTGGAGATTATTTGTGTTCCTGATGGATCTATAAGCTGCTTGTGGATCTTTGGTGAAGTGTAAAATAAAAGAGTAAAAAAAAAATGGACTTTCAAAAATTCTCTTGTATCCATTGATAAGAAACCTTATTTTTGCCAAATCAATGCTAGAAAAAAGTTTAATTTGAAAATCTTTTAATAAATTTCTGGAGAAATAATTTGCCATTTTTTTTCATATTAAAATGTATGTATTCCTTCCCTTTCGGAAAGTTCAAAAGTTCACGTTGTTCCATTCTCTCTTTTTTTTTTTTTTACTTAGTTTATTGAAATAAAAATTGCATATACAAATTATACTTGTTAGGCCAACAAATACAGTGGCAAAGTACTGTCCAGCAAACAGTGTATGCAAAGAGAAATGGCACAGCTCTGGAGTATCAAAGCCTGTAAATTACGCATATACCCCATCAAGAAATAGGTACATCCATGTATATGCACAATCATAAAAATCAAACAAAAGGAAAAACTTATGTTAACAAGTAACAAAAAGAATGAAAAAAGAGCCAGAGTAAGCAACTGGACATAAGAATACTGCACACATGTATGTTATTAAACTGAGTGTATCCGCCCAGGCGCCCAGCACCATAAAAAGTTACTAAAGTAAAAAGAAAGAGAAGGGCACAATGTTAGTAGTTGTCTCAAAAGTCATATTAACACTCTTACAGCCAGCCCAAACAGGGGTAGTAGCAAGAACAGAGGGGGAGGGTTTGACTTAAAACAGAGGGCAACTAAGGTATGGGGTCAGAGACCAAATGTAGAAAAGAGTCAACTGGTGTTTTGTGTGTCCAGCCAGGGTCCCCAGAGTCTAGTAAACTTCCCTGGACACCCTCTTACCTCATAAGTTAGCTTATAAAGTGTGAGGTTCTGATTAATTTAACATTTCCAAACACCAATGTGTAGGGAGTCAGAATGTCAGAATGTATCCCAGTTCCATTCTCTAAGTGATGTTACTGCCTCCTGATAATGAGAGTTTAATTTGCTTGTTCTATTCTGGAAACTGGAAGTTGATCAATTCGAAAAAAGAGAATGATTGGATTTTTATGTCAAAAAGGAAATTTGCAGAAGTTGATCTTTTTTTTTTCTTGCAAATTCTCTTTATTCTTTTGAAAAGTTACAAAACAAAGCCTATTGGGCATACCCAGGCTTAGAAAATAACAATAAAAAACAAAACAGTTAACAGACAACGTAACAATTAAAATTTGTGTGACAACCAGTGCCAGCCGGCACACTCTTGTTCCCTCCCCTACCAATAGGATAAGAGCATTACACAAGGACTCCACAGCTCCGCAGCGTAACATGAAGTATGCTGTCCTAAATACAAAGATACATCTGGTTAAAAATGAATGGGGTAAATCAACAGAAGCCGATGAATCTCTTGTTGTATCTCAGATTTTACGGAATTAGTGTGGACAGCCCCTTGACATGTATACAAATGTATACATTGGGATCATTTGATTGATTATTCAGTATATTTATTATTTAAGTCCTGATGCCTCGAAAGATACTGGTTGATTACAAACCTGTTGCAGGAATGCATGACGTAGTTGGAGATACCTGAACAAATATGAATTGGGGAGGGCGTACTTTATTTTCAAGGAGTCAAAAGTTTGAAGAGTACCCGCCACACACATTTGTGGAAGATATTTGATCCCTTTAGACTCCCATACATTAGGATCAGGGCATAAGAAGAATTCTTTGAGATAGGGGTTCAGCCACAAGGGCGTGTGAGGTGACCACTAGTTGTAGGTGGCAGGATGATACAATTGCCATGCCTTAACCCTTTGAGGACCGTAAGATTTTGGAACGCCAAAAGAATCAATTTTTTTGTTTTTAAAGTTCGTACACTTCAGTTGCTGTAACTAAGCCATTTCATGAAATAATTGGCAAAAAGCTAGATCCATTTGTTGTTTGCTGATAAGAACTAATATTTTTGACTCAAACCAAAAAAAAAAAAAAGAGTTTTAAGTTCTTAATCAGATGATACACGCAATTAAAAACATGGGACAAATACGCCCCTTGGTCCTCAAAGGGTTAACAAATGATTTCATGGATTGTGTAGTAGGGTAAGGAGCTGAAGCACCTCTGTATAGCAGATTTTTTAAGGCCTCATAGGAGCCAAGATGCGTAGCTTCCAGCACCACTGCAATATTGCTCTCGTCTGCCACCAGCCAGTTATGAGCATAAATAAGCAAACCAGCAGTATAATAGGTATATAAGCTAGGGAACACCAACCCCTTTAGTGTCCAGGGCTGCTGGAGAGTAGCCAGTTTAAACCTGGGCTGTCCAGAGCCGCAAAGAAAGGAGGACATGGCTGAATCAAACTGCTTAAAATATTTTCTCGGGATCCATACCGGAGCATGGAGAAGAATGTACAAAAAAGAAGGGAGCAATTTCATTTTAAGAGTGAGAGGAGAAGGTGTGCCCAAGCTGTCATGCGTTACTTTGCTCTTTGCAATACAGGTAAGAGGTTCAAGGAGCAATAATCAGAGACCCAGGAAGAAACTACCACCCTCAAATATTTAACTGAAGAGATCCACTCTAGAGGTAACTCTGGATTTGCCAGGTCATGTTGCTTTGTGGTCTATGGGTAAAATTTGTGACTTATCCCAGTTAACCCCTTAAGCTGAATAAGGGGTAAAAGGAAGAGATTCATTTAAATGCTTCCTTAAGGGATGGACTGGGGTCATTATGAGATAAGACTAAATCATCAGCATATAGTGCTACCTTCTCAGTGATGGGACCCAGTGGAATTCCTCTAATGAGGGGGAGAGTATTACAGATAGCCTGAGCTATGGGTTCCATCATTATTGCAAATAAGGCCATAGAGAGGGGACACCCCTGTCTCATCTCCCTACTAATGGGAAACTGATCTGAGAGGGCTTCCCCCAACTTAATCTGAGCCAGTGGTGCTTTAAAAAGGATGGTAATCCATCTACAAAAGTATGGTTTAAATCCCATCACCTCCAAAACAGCCGCAATATATACCCAATCTACCAAATCAAAAGCTTTGGCTACATCTGAGGCAGAGTTATTCGTGGGGAGTTATACATGAGTAAAAACTCTACGACGATTAATGTCTGTGGACTTCCCTGGTATAAAACCAGTTTGATCTATACTGACCAAAGAGGGTAGAAATTTCATCAGTCTTGTGGCCAGGATTTTGGTTACAATCTCTAAGTCAAAATTTAGGAGTGATATGGGCCTATAAGAAGCACAGTATTTGGGGTTCTTGCCTGGTCTAGGTAATAGCACATTATACGCTTGATACATAGAGAGAGAGGAAGAGTTTAGGATTCATAGCTAACAGCAAATACTTTGCAGAGTTTTTGGGCCAGCTCCTTGGCATGCAGTTTATACCATTCTCCAAGCAAACCATCTGGCCCTGGTGTTTTATTGGGGGGAAAGGATTGGATAGCGGCTTCAGTTTCAAGAGTGGAGATCTCTTTTTCAAGGGCAGATACAGCTTTCACCGACAGGGTTGGCAAAGAGAGGCTCTGCAGGATTTGCACTAGAGAAGGAACTTCCGGGGGGAAATTGGGTGATATAATTGTTGATAAAATCTCTGAAATTCTGAAAGTATGTCTGAGGCAGGGGTGGACTGACCATTTGGAAACTCTGGCACTGCCCGAGGGCCCGGGGTCAGTAGGGGGCCCCATGAGATGCCCCTGGTACCTTTTTCATAGGCTTTTTTTGAGTTTGGGAAAGGACACAGGGGCCCCATGATCCCCTATTGCCCGGGGGCCCCATGAGTTGTCAGTCCGCCCCTGGTCTGAGGGGTCTGTGAGATGCTCCCCAGACTTCGAGATCAACTCAGAAACAACTGTTAGCTGTCTGGCTTCGGCAACCAAGTTGCCCAATAACATGCCATTTTTTTGTCTCCAGACTCGAACAGCCTACCTGTCTGTATGGCAGCATCAGAGGGAATCAGTGATGCGAGATGAAGTTTACTGAGTTGTGAAGAAAATTCCCGTCTGGCCAATTTGATGGCAGATATATATTGGCCTCTGGTGTATGCTTTAAAAGCATCCCACACCACTTGGGGGGACACGTTTTGGTCATTTACATCCCAATACTGAGCAAGTGAGTCAGGGAGCAGCTCCTGTACCTTTTCATTATGAAGCCACCTGGAATCCAGACGCCTCTACGACCCCCAAGATCAGTTGCTAATTCAAAAGGGGTATGGTTTGAAATGCTTGAAGGCAAATATGAGACTGCAGGCACCGAGACCAACAGTGGCCTAGAACTAAATGCTAGGTCTATTCTAGATCTTGATCTGTGAGAGCTAGAGAGAAAAAAATGCTTCTGGGGATATCTAAATCTCCACAATTCAATGAGATCAAATGTTTGTTCCCAGGTTGCTAGATCAATAGTAGGAGCGCTCTGAGGGTTGGAGGAGTCCAGGGGAACATGCAAAACAGAATTGAAATCCCCAGCCCAAATAATTCTGGAGACCGGAAAGGGAGACAATTTTTCCTGGATGGTATAAAGTATGCCAGGAGAAAAAGGCAAAGGAATATATATATTTATCAATGCAAGCCTCACATTATTCACTTCCAAGACCAGAATAATATCTATTTCCAGGATTAGTGCACACATATAAAACTTTATACAGGAGGGATTTATTCAAGAATATGGCGACTCCCCTGGTGTAGCTAGAATAGGTAGAGTGAAAGGCCTGTTACACCCATGTTCTGTGAAGAGATAGGATCTTGTTCCCCAACAAATGGGTTTCTTGTAAAAAAAAGGATATGAGGTTTGTGGTTGTAAAGGAATTTGAACATGAGAGATCTTTTAAATGTATTGTTCAGGCCACATATGTTCCAAGATATCAGTTTAATTTCCATATTGTAAAGGAAAGCAGAATAATAAATCAGGATGGTGGACCTGATGCAAGCAAATGTGAAGGGAAACCCCCAAAACAGAGAATGTGTCCATAGGAAAAAATTACCTCATGCCAATGAGGGGAGTCACCACCACCCCAACTATATGAAGCACTGTGAGCCAGTCAAGAAGGTAACAAATTGCATAAATCACATTAAGCAAGGTAAGGAACCAATGGTTGCCACAAAATAAAAACAATTTACCTTCCTGTCAACCAGCTACCCCAACAAACTATGCTGGTGTCAGTTTGATTCCCTGAACAATAAACTGAATGTCCTTGCAGTTTGCAGACACTCTCGACATCCGGAGTCGGTAGGCCACCGTCGATGCTGCAGCAAAGGGTAAAACTAGGGGGGATAAAATGTCTAAAGGCAGTGTCCTGTAAAAAAGGCAGCTCCCAGAATGAAAGGACAAACATTAACTGTATACCTCAACTTCTATGGGGGGGGGGGGGGTACAGACACAACACTCCTTATAAACTACCCTATAGGGAACTGGAAGGAGAGAGGACCCTGCCAGACTGAAAGAAGCAATTCCTGAGCTATGCACCATTTTCCAGAAGCCTTGATCAGGATTCAGTCACAGCACAATAGGAGGATGTCAGTAACAACTGAAACAAGGTAGAGCTGGAATGCTGGCAATGGTGATAGGGATGCAGATAGTTCAGGAACCCAGGCAGCTGTAGCAACAATATAGAGCCAACATGCAAGAATAACTGTATAGCCAAAAATGTCCCTGAAGAAATAGCCAAAGCTTACCGCAGGGTATTCAGCCATGGTTCGGTTTCCACAGGAGTATCAAAGAAACGCACTGCCCCCTCAAGTTGTAGCCAGAGGCGACTCAGGTAAAGCATACTAAATTTTATGTTCTTTTCACAGAGCCATCTATGAACATCAGTAAAGGTTTTTCTCTTTCTTTGAAGCTCAACCGAGAAATACAAGAAGAAGAAAACAGAGGCAATGCTATGTTGTAATGGGGGTTTTTTCCTGGCTTCTGAAAGGATTTTATCCCTGCCCTGATAATTGAGAAAAAGAACCAGGAATTGGCGGGGGTTGTTTTCAGGGATTGCGTTCCCTGTAGACACCCGATGCGTCCACTCCACAACGTAAATAGGGAAAACGTCCATGAGGCCTAGTAACTCCTTGAAGAATGCCTCTGCAAATTCTGTTGGCTGTTCTCTCTCCGTGCCCTCCCAAGGACCCAGACATTATTGCACCATGGCCTATTTTCAGCATCATCACACTTTGCGACCAGGGCACTTACTGTAAGTTGCAGGTCCACTACCATAGTGGAATGAGAGGTAGTGACATCTTCTGCAGCAGAGATTCTGGATTCTGTGTCAGTTGTTTGGCCTCCAATCTTGTCCAGGTCATTCCTTATAAAGTTGCATTCTTCAGTAAGCATATCTATGTGCACCAGCAGAGATTATTATTTTACAGGATTTATATAGCGCTTTACAATATAAGGGAGACGGTACAATTACAATACATTTCAGTACAGAAGGAATGTGAGGCCCGTGCTCATGGAGCTTACAATCTAAAGGGATGTCTTGCTCTGTTGGCTCTGTTCAGAGCCAGGATTGCCACTGTACCATCAGAAATTTGCGGCACCGAGGTCAACAATGTAGGAGCTCTCTCTGTTTTAACATTCATCTCCGCAATCAGAGCCTGAAGTCTTTCTACCAAGATGGTGTCGAGCCTCGTGGCCGAGGGCGGCCGAGCAGATGTCGCAGGTTTGGCGGAGCGGTTCTTGGACAGCATCCTTAGTCTGGGCAAGGAATGGAAGATAAGCTGCAAATATGGATGGATCGTTCACCAAGGTAAGTATTGCAGATGGTTTATGATGTGATCAGGGGCGGGGCTGACAACTCATGGGGCCCCCGGGCAATAGGGGATCATGGGGCCCGTGTGTCCCTGCCCAAACTCAAAAAAGCCTATGAAAAAGATACAGGGGTATCTCATGGGGCCCCTTACTGACCCTGGGCCCTCGGGCAGTGCCCGGGTTTCCAAATGGTCAGTCCGCCCCTGGATGTGATCCAGATGACGGGAGCTCCTCTCCAAGACATCCACCATGGCTCAAATCTGGTCATGCTTCCTTTGATCTTTAAAGTTTGAGCTGATATAACCCTTTAGATGGTAAATAGTGTTAGATGGTGAGCACTTCACTTCAGATTTACCTCCTCCAAAAGTTCCATTTGATCTCTTAGACACTCTCAATATGTAAATTTCAACTGTTTTGTAACTTAACTGTTGAAAAATGGCCATTACATTTAGCTAGGCACACTCTTAATCCCTTTCACTGCTAGAGCCATTTTTTCTTTTTTTGCGCACATATTAAAATTCCCCTTTTAGGTAAAAAGGTTATCTATAAGCCCCAAAACATTATACATTTTCTGAAAACAGAGACCACGTGGAATAAAATTGTGCCAGTGGCAATTTTTTTTATGTCACATGATAATTGAAATACTTTTTATCAAATCTATACTTTCAGTAAAAAAGCACTAAAAATAATTTTAATGCACAAAAATACAATATTATACTACCTTTTTTTAAAAAAATGATAAAATATGCAAATGCTTTAGACCAGGGGTGGGCAAACTTTTTGACTTGAGGGCCGCAATGGGTTCATATATTGGACCCGGAGGCCGGACCAAGAGTAGATGAATGATGTGTATGTGTCATCCATAGTAAGTATAGTAATATTCCCCCATAGTAAGCATAGTAATTCATCCCCCATATAGTAATTCATCCCCCATAGTAATTCATCCCCCATATAGTAATTCATCCCCCATAGTAATTCATCCCCCATATAGTAATTCATCCCCCATATAGTAATTCATCCCCCATAGTAATTCATCCCCCATAGTAATTCATCCCCCATATAGTAATTCATCCCCCATATAGTAATACATCCCCCATATAGTAATTCATCCCCCATAGTAATTCATCCCCCATATAGTAATTCATCCCCCATAGTAATTCATCCCCCTATATAGTAATTCATCCCCCATAGTAATTCATCCCCCATATAGTAATTCATCCCCCATAGTAATTCATCCCCCATATAGTAATTCATCCCCCATATAGTAATTCATCCCCCATATAATAATTAATCCCCCATAGTAATTCATCCCCCATATAGTAATTAATCCCCCATAGTAATTCATCCCCCATATAGTAATTCATCCCCCATAGTAATTCATCCCCCATATAGTAATTGATCCCCCATAGTAATTCATCCCCCATAGTAATTCATCCCCCATATAGTAATTAATCCCCCATAGTAATTCATCCCCCATAGTAATTCATCCCCCATATAGTAATTCATCCCTCATATAGTAATTCATCCCCCCTATAGTAATTCATTCCCCATATTAATTCATCCCCCATATTAAGTCCCCAAGTCCCCCCTGTGTCAATTCACTTACCTTTGCTCCGCGCGTTCCTCTCGCCGTGTTCCCGCGCCATCTTCAGGGCGGACTGTGAGAGGAGCCTAGCTCCCCTCCCCTCACGTTCGTCACGCTGCCCCGCCTACACACATCCTGACAGCCACATCCGCGGGCCGGATTAAAAGGTCCGCTGTGCCGTATACGGCCCGCGGGCCGTAGTTTGCCCATTGCTGCTTTAGACAATATGTCACGTGCCATGCATTAAAACTGTACACGCCTGTGAAACGGCAAAAAGCTACAGTACCCAAAGCTGTCCATAGGCTAGCAAGTCTTTACAGCTCATTCATTTAGAGTTAACAGTGAATGATGGCCCTAGAATTATTGCTCTCACTCCTACCTGCATGGGGTTAATTAATATGTGTGCTGCAATCATTCATACATGTGCACAGCCATCGTGTGCATTTGTTTTTGTTTGTGCAT